CGGAGGGCTCCCTGTGGAGCTGGAGAAGGACGATGAGTGCGGTCCGTCCGTGATGTCCATCAGCGCTGTCCATAACAGCCCGGGCAGGGCAGCCCTTCCTTCCCGCTGGAGCGGCAGGGATGGTCCCCTTCCCAGTCCCAGCCTGGGCAGGAGGGTCTGTCCCACCCGCGGAAGGACAGAGGCTGGGGACTCAGGGGTCCGGCCACGGGGGGAGCGGCTCTGGCCTCCCGGGCTGGGGAGGTGCCCGGGGTGCCCCAACCGGAGCCCAGACCGGCACCCCCAGGGCTTTGGCAGCATCACTCACAGCCTGCTGCGAGAGCGAACCCAGCACCGACTATTTTTTTAAATAAAGCGTGGCTTGGAAAGATTTTGTCCTGAAATCAGAAACCGGCTTTTGGACAAAAGATAAAAGATTTTCCAGCTGCCTAAATGTGCACGTCATCCCACTTTTCCTGGATTCGGGGCTGATGGTCAGACTCTGCTCACAGTTACATTGATGTAAATACAATGTCACTTATCTAAAGCTGTTGGCTTTATAGTGCGGGTCCCGGCTGGATTGTCGGCAGCTGGGACAAAAAAGCTGAGGGCTCAGTTCAGAGCCTTCATTTTTCAGGACCATTTTGTGCTTGGGGCTCTCAGCTCTCCCAGTTTGAGAGTGTGGCTGGATTTCTCTGCAAACCCTGGCTCTTGGAGCCACATGACTGTGTGGGAATCGCAGCTTTCTGGTTTTTCTTTTTAAGTGAGCTTGAACCCTTTGTGTTTACAAAAGAAATGTGAACTTCCAACAGGTCAAAAACTAGGAGCCAAATCAACAGAGCATGTTTTTAAACCAGAACGGGTGGTTTCAACCAGTCCTGCGGCCGTAATCCAGCTTTTTCAATGCATTTGATTGGTGACTGAGGATGGCATTTCCTTCTCTTAGGCAAAATGGCTTTCCCACCCACTCCATCACATGCCAGGCCAGTCTGACTTGATCTTTCTGGGAATGGGAAAGAAAAAAAAACAAACAAACAAAAAACAACACCACTGTTTTCCTGTTGTATTCCTGGCTCCAGGGCTGGCATGCGGAACAGCCGGACTTCCAGGAGTTGCCCCCACCCCTGAGGGAGTAGGACACCTGAGCCATGCTCCCCATGGCTTCCACAGGATGGGAATTTCACCCCATCCAGCTGTGCTGACTTGGTGTTTCTGCCTCTGCTCTCATCCTGTTTTGCTGAATCACCCCTTTCACAAGCCTCTGGAGCTCTTTGTTGATCCAGGGAAGGAAGCCCCAGCCTGGCCAGCTGAGGGTCAGGAAGCTCTGCCAGCCTTCCCAGAGATCCCTTTGCTCTTCAAAGGCTGTTTCTCCCTGCTGGGAGACGTGGCCCTGATAACAGGAAAGCCCTTTCACATCCCAAGCTCTGGCAGGGATTCCCTGGAGGGTCACAGCAGAGGGATGACAGCCCTGCCAGCAGCAGGGAGCTGCTCCAGGGAGTTGCCTGGCACAGGGACCTTGGTTGGAGCTGATGGGTTGATTGACTGCTGTCAATCCCACATCTGGGTCACCCAGCCATCTCTCACCAAACATCTGGTGCCTGCAGCATCCTGCTCAGAGCACAGCATTCAGGAAAAGGCAACTGCAGCTGTGCCTCAGCCTGCCTGGCCGCTGCCAGGACTGTGACAGCATCTCAGGAAACCCCTGGGTAAGGGGGACACTGGCAAAGGTAAAGACAGAGCAGACCCAGGGAGAAAGGGGCCAGGCTAGTGGCCCTCAGAGGATTGTGCCACAGAGCAGTGAGGTCCTGGGGCATCCCTTCAGTGTGAAAAAGGGAGCAGGATAACACAGCTTATTGGCTCAGGGGTGGGAAGAGGATCTGAATGTTGCAGATGGGCTTCCAGCCATCAAGCAGTGCTGGTGTCCCCAGCTACTGTCTGAGCACTGTGACTGGAGGGATTTCTCCTGTCCCAGCCCCAGCTTTTTGTCTACACAGCCAAGCGAGACCCTTTCTTTCAGCTCAGTTCCCCTCCTGTCCTCTGCAGCATCCCTGATGAGCTAAGCCATCAGAGGTCTCAGCCAGCATGAGGACAGGTGGGTTGACCAGCTTCCTGAATCTCTCTCACGGTTGGATTGTCCACTCTCCCTCCAGACATTTCCCCCCAGGCCCATGAAGAGGCAGACAGCAAGGTGGGGATCCAAGGAGAAGCATCCCAGGGGACTGCCAGGCTGCTCAAAGATGAGATCAAGAAGCTGGGAAAATCCCAGAGAAATAATGTGATGACTGAGGGAGGAGGCAAAACCCTCACCAACTCCCACCTTGGAGGCAGCTGGAGAATTGGCTGTGGCCTGGCTGGGCTGCAGGAGCTGTTGAAATACAAAGAGGGGTAAAAACAAGCCTATGTTTGACACGGCTTGTGTCCTCTCCCACCCTGTGATTGAAGACACAACTTGTTTTTTTGAGACAGAGGAAAATTTAGGAGTCTCCTGTGCAGCCAGTGCCTTGGGTGCTCCCAGCTGCCAAGTGGATGGATGGAGTTTTCCTGGAGAGGCCCTGGAAACACTGGGGTTGTGACTTCCAGCACTGTGGTGATGGCACAGCCCACAAGGCAGTGCTGCCCCATGCGAGGTGAAGGCTGTGATCCAGGATGGGTGGGGAGCACTGGGATGCAGGGATGCAGGACAAAAGCTGACAGGATGGATGTGTGTGTGAGCTTTGTGGAATCCAAGGCGCTGAAAATACTGCATCTCAGTTGACTAATGAAAAAATCTGTCTTGTTTTGCAAAGAGTCATTGCAAACATCTGCATGTTGTGGAGTTCCCAAAAGGAGAAAGAAACCTCTCCCCACTGGAGCAGCTCCTGTGGGAGGAGGCAGAGAATGCAGAGAAATTGGGGTGCTCAGGGTTACAAGCCCAGGGAGTGATGGAACTGCAGGGCTCATCTTCCAAAAAAGAGTAAGGAGGAGTAAGAGGGAGTATGAAAAGCAGCTGGCAGGAACCAAGGATAATTTTATGGTTTTGCAAAAAATTACCATGGCAATTAAAAGTGCTTTAAGCTTTTGAAGGAGAAAGAAGGAAAGAAGAGGGAAGTAAAAGGCCCTGGGGCCAGATTGAAGGGTAGGATGGAGAGAGGAACAGCCATCACCCAGCACAGCCATGGCACAGCTGGGGATCTGCTGCAGGGGCATGGGGGATGAGCAAAGATCGGTGTGTCGGGAGCCAGGTGTAAGGGCTGTTGGGAAAAAACAGCTGGACAAGGAGCCTTGGAGGTAAGTGATGGGAAAGGTACTTCTGCAGAGTGCCCGAATGCCAGGAGCTCATTCCTGTGTCCAGAGGGTGGTGGCTTGGAGCCACAGCAAGGCTGGGCTGCCCATATGCTCCTGCTGGCTTTGCTTTCCCTCTCCACGCTTACCTGGTGATGCACTCAGCTGGCTGAGGAAGAAATGGTGTCCTGTGCTGAAATGTCCTCTGCAGCACTTTTGACTAGTTACCAGGCATCTGCAGCCGGGATCTGCCCTTGCTTTTGTGTCCCAGCCCTGGGGTTTGTGTTACAGCCCCAGGGTGTTCAGGGTGTAACCCATTGCCCTGGGTGAGACCCACTGTGGTGGCATCACCAAGCACTAGTCTAAGGACAAAGTGCCTGAGGCGTCACATCCCAAAGTGTCTTGATGGAGGTTCCAGCAGGCTCCTTCCCCACTAGGCATGAGTGCCTGGTGACCTGGCTACAGGCTGCGGGGTTTGGTGGCAGTGCCAGCCCACCCTCCTCGGGGACCACAGCCGTGCCTGGCCACCCACAATAGCTGCTTTCAATCCAATTTCACCGAGGGGCAGAGCTCTCAGAAACACTAAGCTGCTGGAAAACAGGCTTCCTTCCTCAGCTGATTTGTCACAGCCTTCAGGAAAGTTCCCGTGTTGGGTCTGGGACCTCATGTCCAGGCTGTTCTTGGAACTGGATGGGCATGGGGGGGATCTCCATTCCTCCCTCCCACTGCCATCAGCCTTACCAGTATGGCACAGCTGAGGAAACTGAGGCACAGGGAGGTAACAGAGCTTGCCTGGGAATGAACTGTGGCATTTCTGCAGATCAGCCCATCGGCTGGGACCAATGAGGGTGGTTTGGACCCTTCTTCTCAGGGACTAAAGAGGTCCTAAGCAGCCACCCTCCAGCTTTGGTGCTTCCCTGCTCTCATGGAGCAAGGTCAGCTCCACAACTGATGGGTGGGAGAGCCCTGCACACACACCAGCAAAAGGCCCTTCATCCCCAAAGTGCCACCAGGTCTTATGCAGACCAGGAGCTGCCACCACTCAATCCCCATCACTCCAAAACCCAGCAGAGAGGGTGCTGGAGAATCAGCTGCACAGGGGTTGGGTGGCCACAGGGCAGAGCCCGCACCAGCCACACCCCTGTGCCAGAGTCACAGTGTGGTGGGAGTCACCACACTTTTGGGGGGGCATAAAAAAACCCCACCAACCTCAGTTTCTCACTTGAGTCCACCTGGCCATTCCTGCATCACTTCCCCACTGCATCGCTTCCCCACTGAGATCCAGGGAGCCTCAGTTCTCTTCAAGCTGCTGCTTTCCTTTCAGTGCGCTCTCCTTTCCCACCCCGCTGGAGATGACACAGGGCAGAGGAGCGCTCCCTTTATGCCCCGTTAAGATGTGGCCGTGTCCTGCGGGACGGTGGGCTGGAGCAGGAGGGTCTCCATGGGCAGCTGTGCCCGGCGCTGCCGGAGCACACGCGCCTGCTGGAGGACACCCCGGTACCCGCTGCCTCCCCGGTCCCGTCCGCATTCCCAGCAGCCCTCATGGGCTCGGCGGGAGAGACGCCCTGGGGCCTGCGGTAGTTCGGAGACGGGCCCTCCCCGCGCTCAGGTGAGGAAGGAAGCGGCGGGGAGAGCAGGGCCGAGGGTGAGCGCTGCGCAGGGAGCGGCCCCCGGGGCTCGCTCTGGGCCGGGCGAGCGGTTCCGAGGCGCAGCGGCTGCCCGGGTAACGGGGAAGGTCCCGGCTGGATGGATGGCAGTGTGGATGTGGGCAGGGTGGCCCAGCAGCAGAGCAGGCTGGTGTCAGCAAAATACCCGGCTTGTTTTGGGAGGCTGCTCAGCGGTGGAGGTGGAGCTGAGCGGTGTTGCCTCCACGGGGCAGGACTGACCCCTCCGCAAGGGCTGCGGTCCTGCTGGTCTGGGGGCTGAGGGCTCGAGTTGCCGCGTTCCTCTAGGGGGTTACTTATTGAATGTGACTTGAAAACCCTTTCTCTTGCTCTTGTCCAACTCTTAATCTCTCTCCAGAGTAAAACTTGCCTTTCACCTCCCTAACGGGCCTGCTCCATCCGTGGGGGAGCTGAGGCCTGCAGGGGAGAAGCCTCTTCTCTCCATCCCCTGCCTTCCTCCAGCCGTCCTGGGGGAGGCCCACAGGGAGTCAGGCTCGGTGAAACCTGTACCAGAGCCATACTGAGTGGTCCCCAGCAACGAGATGCCTGGGGAGGGGGCAGCTGCCCACTGAGGCCGGGGGGGACAGCAGCTCCGCACAGGGGATGTGGCTCTGGCACGTTTTGCTGCTGAGCTCTCGCACCCTGTGTTCACCATGATGGTGATGCTCAGTGTGGGGCTGTTTCTGGGGCCAATTTCCAAGCCCCCACCCCAAATCCTATGGGCCATGCAGGTTTACCTGCCCAGGATTTTCTCTGTGTACTTTTTAGGTCTGTGTCAGTGTATATCCCAGCGGGGAGGCCATCAGCGCTGCCCCGGGAGCACTGGGGTGAGCCAGATTTTCCTCCTCCAAAAATCCCCCCCATGCATCGAGGAGCTCTCTCCTGTTTGCTGCCAGGCCCTGCAGCACAACAGGGAAGGCAGCTGGAGGGCTGCCAGCCCCGGCAGCAATGCCTGGGAAAGCTGGGCTCAGCAGGTTGGTGGTGGCCCCGTGACCCTGGCCCCACTCACAGCAGAGCTGATGGAGGCACCGAAGCTTCGGGAGCTGGCTAGCACTTCCCTGCCATCATTCCCCGGGGAGGATCTGGGCTTTGGACATGTTCCCAGCTGTCAGGGAGAGGTGGGGGACGGAGCATGGAGCAGGAACCGCATTTGCCCACACAGACGGCCTTCCAAGAGGGATGTCTGGGAGCAGAACAGGGCTGAGCTTGCGCAAAACAGATCGGAGAGGCTGGGTACCTGCTGGGGCAGAGGGCTCATCGGGTGGCACATGCTTGTCCTCATCCCTCTGGGTAAGGAACCAACTCTCCCCAGCCACCCTGGGTTGAGTGTGCACTGCGGGCTGTGCTGAGAGCCCCTGGGGACACCACACCATGTTGGCTGTGCTGCCAACACAAGAGCTTTCCTTTAGATCATCCATGGTCATCCTGTGCCCTCCTGCTCTGCCTGGGACAAGGTGGGCTGCAGAGCTGGCTGCTGGGGAACCTGGGCTCGGCCTCCATGGTTCCCAGTCCCTGGTCCGACGTGCTGACACCACAACCACTGTCCTGCTGATGCTGAGTGCTGAGCAAATGGAGCGAGGAGCTCCTCTGGCCCGAGGCCTGGGAACAAGACCCAGCACCCCGACATAGATTTGCAATCCTGGGTCTTCATCGTGTTGACCAGAGGCAGCTACCGGTGGTGGAACTGTGCAGGAAGAGGCGCTGCATGAGAGCATGCGTGCCACCTTGTGTGGCTGGAGGCATGGCTGTGCTGTGAGCCCAGCATGGACCATTTGGCTCTCCAGCTTTACAGCCAGGCCTCCAGCATGGTGGAGAGGAGTTGTCTCCACTCAGGGAGCGAGTGGCTGGAGGATGTGAGTGGGCAAGGGGATGAGCAGGAAGCAGGCAAGGCTTTCCTTCCACGTGTTCTTGCTAGTGAAAACCAGGAGCTGTGCAACCTCAGAGTGTAGCCTTGTGGCAGAGCTGTCCGGGCGTCCTCCAGGCGGCACAGCCCCTTTGCTGGGATTCCCTGGAAAGATGGGTGGTGGTAGCAGGGGCCAAGATGTGGAGACTGGGGAGTTCTGGCTTGAACAAGGGTCATGTCTGGCCAATTCCACGATGCCTTCCCTTCCGAGTGGGAAATGTTAGGTTTGGACTTTGTTCAAAGGGAATGTGTGGTGTATGCAGCAGCTCGAACTTCCCACCTCTCTGCCTTGAGTTGTTTGGGAATTTTTAAGGACAGTGCAGGACAGGATGTCTCCTGCCAATCAAATTCTTGTTTGAGGGGGATGCTGACAGCTTGATTGCACAGTGTTGCTGTGAGGCTGTATGTGCCCTTCCAAGGGGCAGATGTGATGGTGTAAGCCCATGGCAAAGGCATCTCTTCTCCAAGCTGGATGCTCTGCTCTGGCTTCTGTCCTGTTTTCTGGTGCTCACAGAGGCCCTGGCTGAAGGCCCTGGCCCTTCAGGTGTTTGCCTTAGTTTCCCTAGAGGCTTACCTGTGCCCATGATGGGGCTGTGTTTGCAGCCATTTACTCACTGAGTAAATGTTTACTGCTGGAGTTCTCTTCCCCTCCCTGAGTGCACTCCTGTCTCTCCCTTGCAGTCTCAGACCATGAACTATATGGGGCACCTGGCTGAGTCCGTCTTTGTCACGGTGAAGGAGCTGTACCAGGACCTGAACCCTGCCACCCTGACAGGCTGCATCGATGTGGTGGTGGTGAGGCAGCCCGATAACTCCTTCAAGTGCTCCCCATTCCACGTGCGCTTCGGGAAACTGGGAGTGCTGCGCTCCAGGGAGAAGGTGGTAAGTGGTTCCTTTCCATGGGGCTGTGCTTCCTCTCTTCTGTCTCCATACCCTGTATCTTCTATAACCCTTGGGTTGTGGAAAAACTTTGAGGGGAACGGGAGCCCTACTGAGAGGAATGCTTGCCAAGATTTGGAGGTGATGCCCCCTAATGGAACCCATCCTCTTCCAGGAATGACTATGCTTCCCAGGAAATCTGGGAGTGGTCCCTTGCCTCAAAGGCTGTGTGGCTGTCAGCCCTGCAAGCAACTCCAACCCAGCCCCTCCCTGGGGAAGTGCCCCTGCACTCCAGTGGATGAGTGGGTTTGGATGGACAGGCTGCTTCTGCCTCTTGTTAGGTTGACATTGAAATCAATGGGGAGCCTGTGGATCTGCACATGAAGCTGGGAGACAATGGAGAGGCCTTCTTTGTCCAGGAGTCAGAGGAGAATGAGGTCGGTGATGCAGAGGTGCTGCAGGTCTGTGTTCTGCTGTGTGGAAGTACAGAGTTGAGGTGGAATGACCAGGTTTGGAATGCTGCTCTTCCACAGAGTGACTCCATTGTCCCTTCTGATGTTTTCTGTGTCTGGAAAGGTTCCTATTCAAAGGACCTTTCAACCAGTGTGGAGGGCCAGGGCAGTGGAGCACCCTGAGGGAGTACTAGACCACATATCTGCATCCCAGACTGGTCTCCATCAATGGGCATGGCTGCTGGCCAGCCAGGCAGATATCTTGGAGCTTGGCCTTTTGAGGGATCTTATAACAGGGATGAGAATGAGACAGAGGCTGTGGCAGGCTGCCCACTCCACTGGGAAGTGGGATAAGACTAGTTGTGGCTTCCAGAAATCTTGGCAGCTCTTCTCCCAGCCTGACTCGTGATCAGTGCTAGCCTGGGCTGGGTTTGGGAGCAGGAGAGGGCTGAGTCCCATTTGCAGCCTTTATTATTCTGGTCTCGTGGTGCCATCTCCTGCCTGTCTCTCCTTGCCCATGTTAGAGATGTCTTTAGCTTGTGGCTGGATCGGCCTTCTTTTATTTACAAGTTTTATGTACAAACCCTCTCCTTTTAGGCCAGGCCACAAAACGACCTGTGAGCTGCAGGCTCAGTGGTGGTGGTTGTGCTGGTGGAGTATGTTCCATAGGCGAGAGCAAGGAGCTGCCAGGCTGGAAAGGAGCATGCTGGAGGGAGCTGATGAGCTTTTCCCCATCCCTGTTGCAGGACAGCATCCCCTTCTGCCTCTGCACGTCCCCCATCCCCATGGAGCAGAGCCGGAAGGATTCTGTCCAGCCATCCCACGGGCAGGAGGCCACCGGTGCTGAAGTGACCCAGCGCAAGAGGAGGCGACGCAGGAAAAAGACCAAGAGGAAGGAGGTGTTGGACTCAGAGTCTGAAAGCTCTGATGAGACCAAAGGCGAGATGCCTATGGAGGAGCTGTGCGAGCTGCCAGCCCCAGGGTGAGCTGCTTGGTCTGGGCAAGGTGGGTCAAGCCCGTGGGTTCACTTGGTGAAGCCCAGCAGTACTGGAACAGGAGGAAAGTGTTTCCAAGGGGAGCCCAACCTGTTCTGGAGTAGGAAACCAGTGGGAATGGTGAAGCTGTATTGCCAGCTTTCTGGAGAGGTGCCTGAGAGTAGCACAACTGACCCTTTTCCCCCTTTGCAGTGGTGCAGGGTGTTCATCCTTCACTGGTGCCCTCGAAGAAGAAACCCTGTTGTTGCAGTCCCCAGAGATGCACCCGCACTCCGACGGGGAGCTGGGCTCTGCGGACAGGTAATGGACAGGGGCAAGGTGTTCTGCTCAGCTCTGCTGAGAGCAGGGGACAGGCCTCATGGCTAGGAACGTGGTACAGGAAAAGGACTTGCAGGTATCAGGAGAGGAGGGTTTTCCTGGCCTGATATGGTGTGGCTGGAGGAAAGCTCAGAGGCCATGAGGGACACTTGTGGTCATGGTCACAGATGTGAGAAACCTGCATGCCCAGGGCTCTGTGCTCCTGAGCTGCCCTGGACAACTGCTGGCACAGCACTTTGCTTCCTTGGGCCTCAGCTTCCATAGGCCCTGGTCCTTTGTGAGTGACAGTCTTATGGAGCAGAACTGACTTTATGGGAAACCAGCCTTACGGGGTTCTTGGTCCTAAATGTCCTTGTGCTGATAGGAGAGCATGGGGCTGTGGTATTGGTAAGCTCCCATATCACTTTCTCTTCTTGCAGCTTCATGCTGAGCCATCTATCTTCTCCCAAAAGTGATTCTGAACTGGAGGTCAGATCACAGGACAGTTTTGCTCTAGGGGCTGAATCCCACGTGCAGTGGACCTGGGGAATGCTCCCTCAGGTGAGTCCCTGCTCTTGATCTTCTCTAGCAGCTGCAGAAAGCGGAGGAGTCTGTGGCCAGGCAGCCTTCGGGGAGTTGTCCCCCTCTGCCTAATGCTCTGGGCAACTTCCCATCCTCAAACCTGTCCTTTTGCTTTCCTTGAGGTGAATAAATTGGAACGAGTTGAACCAGCCGAGTCCTCGAAGACCATTGCTACTGCAAGAACCTCCATCTCTGCGACAATGCTCCCAGTGGATGAGGCAACCCCTCTTGCTGCCACCTCTGAAAGTCTGGAAGGGAATCCAAGTCCAGCAGGACCTCAGGACATACCCTGTTCCTCAGCTGTGTCTGTTATTGAGACAACACTTGCACCCCAGGATGGGAACAGCATCCCCAGTGCTGGGGGGGCAGAAAGGTTGTTGGGGGCCTCCTCAGTCCCACAAGAGAACCAGGAGGAAGATGGGAGTGTTGTGCCAGAGGCTCAGCCGGTTGTGGAGCCCTTTGAGGGAGCCACTGCTCGAAGGCGGGCAGGCTCAGAGGGCCCTGAGCACCAGCGGGAGAGGCAGAGGAGCCAAGGTGAGAGGGTGGCTGGTGCAGCTGGAAATGGTGTTTGAGCCTGCAGGTGCCTGTCTCAGATGAGGGCCTGGGTTATTCATTCACTATAACTCCCTCATGACTGCCCTGGGCATTGCAGGTGTGCTGTTTGCTTTGCTTTGCCCTCTCTGTGTGCAACCAACTCCTTTGCTTTGAAGATTCATCCCTCAAGTTTCCAGCTTTCAGTGACCACCCAGCTCCCAGGAAGGCTTTCTTGCCTTATGTTCCCTGAAGTCCATCCTTGGGTGTCTCTGCCTGTGCTCGCTTAGAAGATTTCTCAGCAATACAGGCCATACCTTAACTTGAAGTGTCTGGCACCACCTGGCCTGACTTGTGTCTTTATCCTGAACATGCCAAGTCAAGGGGAAAATCTCAGGGAAGCATTTATATTCCTCCCCTTGACAGTATATTTAAGGATTATGCCAGTGTAGGTGTCCTGAGGTACTTTTGTTGCTATTGATTTAAGGCAGCTTTTGCAGTAGGAAAATGGTTGCCCTGTTTGTATGGTACATGGATATGATGGAGGAAAACACTGTTACTGTCTCCATAGATGTTGGGATGGTTGGAAAGGTGATTCAGCTAAGCTCTCTCTCTCCTGTCTGTGCATTGAGGATCCATCGAAAGAAGTCCTCACTTGGGTCCCAGTGACATTAACCTGGAAGACCTCTCCAACCTGGATGAGAAGCAGGTGGCTCTCTGTTTCCCCAGGAGGTATGAGTTGCCCCAGCTGGCCAAGCTCAGACCTTCTTGAGCAATTCCCTTGGCACAAAGGATGGAGGTATGTTTAAAACTATTGTCTGATGTCACTAACAGCAAAAGAAGAAGCACAGAGCAGAGTTTGAGGCCTGTGACAGACCCCAGCAACCCTGTGTGTGTCCAGCTGCCACCCAGCTTGCCTGCTGACAGCCCCCCGGACTGTGACCCCGCGCCCGCGGTCGCCCTGTCGCTGTGCGGGGGCCTGAGGGGCAGCAAGCAGATCTCTCACGGTAGGTGAGAGGGGAGGGGGAACCTGCAGCCCCAAAATCCATTATATCCACCAGTGGCATGACACAGCCTCTGTCCCACCAGAGAAGTTCCTGGAGCACATGGTTTCCTACCAGCAGTTTGTTGAGAATCCAATGCTTGTCAATGATCCGAACCTGGTCATACTCATCAACAACAAGTGAGTGGCCTGCTCTTCCTGCTGCTTCATCCCACGATGGACAGTGTGGTCCCTTTGCCCCTACAGAAACCCTCCTGTAGCAGTGTGACTCCATCCCAGAGCGTGATTGTACTGCAGTAGTTGTGAGAGGGGAGCTGGCTGTGGTGCAGGTTGGTGATCTGTAAAGAGCTCTCGCTCCAGGAGTGATGATGTGCCCACCCCTCTTGGTTTTCCAGGTATTACAACTGGGCAGTGGCTGGTCCCATGGTCCTTTCCATGCAGGCTTTCCACAGGAGCATTCCTGAGGTCAGTGGTATGACACATTTTCTGGCCATGATTCTCAGCAGGGCCTGAGAATCCTGGGCTGAGCCTCCCTGGGATGAGAACTGACTTTATCCCATGTTCTGCCATGTTCACAGAGCATCATTGACGACCTGGTGAAGGAGAAGATGCCCAAGAAAGGCAGAAGGTGGTGGTTCTGGAGGAGGAAAGAATTCCCAGCAGAGGAGGTGTGTTTGTGGCAGTGGATGTGACAACCATGTCCCCAGGGGACAGGCATCATTCTGCTGACTGGCAGAGGTGGGGGTAGGGGAGCAGCAGGGTCCTGGGGATGGCCTGGGGCTGAATATGAGGACATCCAGGACCTGACAAGGTGACTTCTGAAGGTTGCTCCTGTCCCCTTGGGTCTGTTAATACCTGAGCAGCAGAACAAGGCCTGGTGATGCAGTAACACAGACCTTGTAATCCATCCTGCCACGTGCCCCTCATGCCAGGTCCCCAGGTACCACGTGTGCTTGCTGGTCTCCCTGCCCCACCACAGCACCAGGCTGTGCTTCCTCTGCCATGGGCAGTGTCCTCGTGGAGGCAGGGAGAGCATTGCTGCCTCTCTTCTGGCATCTCTGCTCCAAGTGGAAGAAAAGCAAAGCAGCCCCTGTTCCTGCCCTTGGCTCTGTGTAAGCACTGCTCAGCAATAACAGAAACATCTCTGTTATCAACACTGTTCAGCACAAATCCAGAACACAGCCCCAAACCAGCCACTGTTAAGAAAATTAACTCTGCCCCAGCCAAAACCAGCACACCCTTCTCTGCCTGCAGAAGCAGCCAAAGCCAGGGGAAGCCAACGAGGGGATGCTGCAGCCTGACTCTGCTCAGCAGAGGTGAGTGCCTCCCTCCCAGGTCACCTTCACAAGTCTGCATGCTCCTTATCTCTTCTCCTAAGTGACCAGTTATTCCCAAATTTATCTAATATAAGGGGGCAAAAAGCTCTGTTAAGACTCCGGCTGATCCCAGTCCAGCAAGATCTTCCCTTCTTTGTGTAGGCAGGAGGAAGAAAGCTCATCCAGTGATTATGAGACCCTGCACTCTGGGCACATGTTGGCAATAGAGGCCCCTGCTCAGAAACCTCTGCCAACCTACAAGAAATCCCTGCGGCTCTCCTCCGAACAGATCGTATGTATTTACTCCTCTGCCTTCACTGCCTGTGTGTGTGTAGGGGTGAGACAACCTTAAACAGGGATTTCTCTACTCCTGACCTCCAAGTGTCTTGCCCTGGTTGGCCACCCTGTACAGGCTTGGGGTCTCTGGCCTGGCTGGGTGGCAGTCTGGCCTCTGGCAAGTCTTGGTCTGGTGTGAATTGGTGCTGCTGTAACACTTTTGCTGCTCCTCTGCCACAGGAAAGGTTGAATCTGCAGGATGGCCCCAACGAGGTGGCATTCAGTGTGACAACTCAGTACCAGGGCACGTGTCGCTGCGAGGCCACCATCTACCTGTGGAACTGGGATGACAAGGTGGTGATCTCGGACATCGACGGCACCATCACCAAGTAAAAGGCCTTTATGCCACCCCAATATCCGTGTTTTCCCCTGGTAGGGGAAAGTGTCCTTTAAAGGCTTGCATAGGCAGGCAGGAGAGACCACAAACCCCACGGTGCTGGGGATGGATACCCACCAGGTTGGATCACACCCTGTATCCTTTCCTTCTAGGTCGGATGCTCTGGGGCACATCTTGCCTCATCTGGGTAAAGACTGGACTCATCATGGGATTGTTAAACTCTTCCACAAAATCCACCTGTAGGTATTGGATCAACTGAGGCCAAGGGGAAGTGGGAAATTGATGGAGTGAGAGCCAGGGCTCACTGATGCTGGCCAGAATGGCCTCGTTACCTGCTGTCAGTGATGGCTGCTGTGCTGCCTACATGGTGCTGGGGGGTGAAAGCAGGGGGCCCCCTGGGAGCAGATGCTGGCATTGCCTTCCCTGGCAGGAGTGTGTCGGTGGAATCTTTGCTGGGGAGGTGTAGCTGAGCAGTGGTGGTGAGACCACGCAGGGTGACACCTGAGTGGTGGCAGGGGAGTCCCCAGCACTGCCAGCCCCGGGTCGGTGCTGGTGTTTCTCTGGGTGCCCAGTGATTGCTTCCCAGAGCCGAGGGGATGAGACCCCCGAAAGGTGACACTAGCAGTGGGTCCCTGCAGAGCCTCCAGCTCAGTCCCTGGCCTCTGTGGCCACTGAGAGGCACTGTGGGCCCGTGGATGGCTCATCCCGGCCCTGGGAGGGACACGCTCCTGAGGCTGCAGGGACATGACTGGCATTTCGGCTGCCTCTGGCCACCCTGGTACCCCCTCGGCTGAGCTGCCCTGCCCTGGAGGCCTGTGAGGGCTGGGTACAGCCCCCCTAATGCCCCGGCAGCCCGGTGGGATGGAGGTGCTGCCTGGGGGTCCTGTCGGGGTGCGTGGGTGCTGAGCAGCAGTGGGTGCTGTGCAGCTGGGTGGCTGTGGCTGCTGGGGAGAGCCTGGAGGGTGGTGCAGGGACCCCAAGTGTGAGGCAGGTGGGGACTGGGCTTAGCCCAGGTCTCTGGGTAAGGCATTTGCATTGTTTGTGGAACCACCTTGGTTGCTGAAGGGGTGAACTGCTTTGGGCTTAGGCCAGGTACTGTCCCCCTTGAAGCAGGAGAATGCCCTGCCCTGGACACGGCTCAGAGGGGCTCCCTGTGCTCTCTCTAGGAATGGCTACAAGTTCCTCTACTGCTCGGCCAGGGCGATAGGCATGGCCCACGTCACCAAAGGCTACCTCGAATGGGTCAATGACCAAGGCTGTGCCCTCCCCAGGGGCCCCATCCTGCTCGCCCCCAGCAGCCTCTTCTCTGCCTTCCACAGGTACTGTGTCCTCTCCTGCACCCCCCACGTCCCTGGGGGCAGCACCCCTTTCCCCAGCTCAGTGCTGAGGGATGTCCCAGCCTCAGACTGCTCTGCCCTCCTTGGCACACGATACCTTTTGTGTGAGGCAGCAGGAGAGCTGCTTGCTCTCCCTGGAGCTTTGTGGTGCAACTCCTGATGCGCAAAACCTCTCTTGCCTTCCAAATCACTTCCCTGAGCCCCGGACAGCCTCGCTGCCCTCACTCCTGGCCAGCTGATGCCACTCTGACCATGGGTCTTGTGCTGCAGGGAGGTGATTGAGAAGAAGCCAGAGGTGTTCAAGATCACCTGCCTGAGGGACATCCAAAACCTGTTTGCCCCGAGATGTCCCTTCCACGCAGCCTTTGGGAACAGGCCCAATGTGAGCGGCTCTCCTGGGGCAGAGGGAGGGCTCAGGGGGGTGGTGGTGCCTTCCTGCAGCTCTCATGCCATGCTGGCCTTCCTGGGCAGGATGTCTACGCGTACAAGCAAGTGGGGCTGCCAGAGAGCCGCATATTCACGGTCAACCCCAGGGGAGAGCTGATGCAGGAGCTCACCAAGAACCACAAGTCAACGTAAGCGATGTGCTTATTCCTCAGCATCCTCGGGATAACTTCGCTGTAACCCAGGGGAGCATCTTGGGGTGTAGAAAAGCAAACAAATGCCCAATAGCCCCAGTGCAACCTCTTTCTTACCCCCACAGGTACGAGCGGCTGTCGGAGGTGGTGGAGCTCATCTTCCCTCCCCTGGAACAGAGGGGGAGAGCTGGTCTGGCGTGCCCAGAGTACAGCCACTTTTCCTACTGGAGACCTGTGCTGCCTGATGTTGACTTGGATGCCTTCTTCTAACCCCATTCCCTGTGGAGGCCTGACCCAGGGCTCTCCTCTGTGTCCTTTGCCAGGACTGAATGCTCCAGCTGCACCTCTTCCCCCGTTTGCTGCTCAGGCATTTTGCACTTGTAATAGAGGTCATGACACCCCTTTTCAGGTGGCTAAAGGGAGTAAAAGGGAGCTCTGACTCTACAAAACCTCCAGTTGCTAAACTAAAACTATTGTAAGCTGAGTCTCTTCTAATGTTTGTAACCCCTCTAAAGCCTGGCTCTTTTTCAGAGGTGGTGGTTGATCACTGTTTTATTTATTGATGAGCCTCTGGCATAGCTATTGCTACCTCCAGTATGACCAGAGTTCCCAGACAGTCCAGCTACCTGCAGTTTGGTAGCTGGTGGAGTGAAACTGCCCACCAAATCATTAAGGTGGATGGAAGATGTTGGGTATTTGAGTGGTTTTGACTAATAGCAATAATAAATAATGCCTCCAGTCTGGCATCTGCCTTGTCCTTCCCTGACTGCCGTGTGTGAGTGTAAATAATCTCCGAGTTTGTCATTTCTGGAAGCCACACAAGTAATTTTGATTCTGGAAACCTCAGTGAGAAATACTTTATTTTTTTTCCTTTCCAGTACAAACGCTTTTTCAGCTTTTAAAATCTGAACAAATGTAAAATGTTTTAAAAACAACAGAACACAGCCTTTTGACGATATCAGTTATCAACTGCCTTGGAAAGCTGCCCATGCAAAGACAACCCCATGGGCACCATTTCCTCCTTCTGCAAGCAATAAAAAAAAAAATGCCCAGTTTTGTACAAAGTTCCTTTCACTTTTTAAACATGAATAGTTGAGAACTGAAATATAAACTGTCCATAGCTTCAAGTGACTAGTCAGGAATAGTCCAAACATAGCACCATTTTCTGGAAGGTCAGACTTCTTCCTTGTCCTAGTTTTATTAAGGCCAATCCTGGCTCCCTCTGTGCTCGGGAAGCTGTTCCTGCTCAGCCACTCTAACCCAGCCCTGGCTGGGGAAGGGGGAGCCTGGCCCTTGGCTTTTTTTCTCTTTGGTTGCTGCAGCCCTTTTTTTCCCTGGTGTGAGGGTATGGGAAGGGAGCTCTGGCAGGATGCTTGTGTGGGGTGAGGGCTCCCCTGAGTACTGAGGATTGACTTAAGACTCCTTCTTTGGGCTGAGGAAAAACATAGGTTTTGTTGTGTAAGAGCAGGTTTTGCAGGATGCCGATCAGCAGCCGGGGGTTGTTCTTCAGCCATAGAAGTGTCTCAGCAGCTGCAGCATAGCTCCAACTGAGCAAAGCCCAGAGCAGGAAGAGTGGATTCTGGTGCTGTGAGCACCTGGTGGGACTGGGTGAGTGGTGGGGGGCCAGGTCCCCTCTCCACAGCTGATGGTCCATGCTCCTCTGGCAGGGGAACGAGCTTATTACTGCATCAGGGGAACACGATGTGGCCAACTGGACTCAGGGACCCCTGTGGTCCTCCCCAGCCTGGAATGATGCTTCAGGGAGCTCACACAGTTTTTCTGGAGGAGAAAAGGTGCCCTGATGCATCTCTACTGGGAGCTGCTGCTGCTTTGTGCTGGTCAGGGAGGATCAGGGAGGGAATTTTGGTGGAAAAGAACAGGGGCAGTCTGGTGAGGGTGATGGGCACTGGGTGGGAGCTGAAGGCTGGATGGTCTGGAAGAGTCCATGAGCTGAAACGCTGAGCTGATAGAAAAATATGTTCCTCTGCTATAAAGTGCCAGACCTGCTTGGATGGAGGCTCTTTAATTTCCTCCTCATCCTAGTCATGAAGACCCTGTTGCTGGTTAGTGGAGGGTGCCCGGGAGGAGCTCCCGGGGAGAGGCAGGTTCTGTGTGCAACAGGTCCATAAGGCAAGGCTGGGGCTGCTCAGGAACATGGACAACCTTTTCCAGCCTGCCTGCTTGTGGGAAACCAGAGTCAAGCTGGGTAAGTCACTTGGGATTTTGATTCCCAGGCTGAGCTGAGGAGAGGTCTCCAGAGGTCTTCTCACAGGTGCAGGTCCCAGGGCTAGTGGGCTAGAGGAATGTGAGGGGGAGGCTCCTGTTCCCACACTGCTGCACTCACACCCTGGAGCAGCTGGAATTCTCCTGCCCCTGGACAAGATGAGGGAAACCACGTTCACAGTTTAAGTAGTAAAACAGGAGAGAACCAGAGCTGGAGGACAGGACTGGTCTCTGCAGAGACCTACGGACACGTCTCCTTGGGGAAGACGCGTTTTCCATAACCCATTAAGTCAGTCCCAGGTGTAACCAGAGAGCCCAGCAAAGTGGGATTGCAAAGCACAGCAGCTCCGGGGACTGTGGGGCTCTCCCCAAATACTGCTGCTGCAGGTTTTAGCTGCTCAGTGTGGCTCTTTGGAATATGGCAAGGGACATGGGGCAGCAGGGGGAAACTCTGCAATCAGATGAGCACCATGACAGTGGATTCTTCAAAAATATACACACACATACCATATGTATATATATGCATATGTGTGTTTTCCTAATGCATACCCTCATCTGCTCCACAAGGCATGTGCATCTGCATGGAGGAGGGAGCAGTATAAATGGATTTACCATACACAAGGAGAGCTGCTGTCTCGGAGAGGGGAAGCCAGTTCCCCGAGGGGACGTGTGAATACGTGTGTTCTTTGAAATTTGCAATTCCTGTGGTGAGTTTTGTTCCCTGTAAGGAGCCCTGGCTTTGCTCAGTCCCTGGATTGAGATGCAGGTGGTCTTTAGGTCAGAGAAACTCTTCCTCAACTGATAACTACAGGGTTGTATTCTTCCAGAAATTATAAATCCACAAAAAATAAAATTAAAAATCAATGTTCCCGCCTCCAGCTTCCTCCTGAATTGTCCTTCTGGGGTCATCAGCCCAGGAGCCAAAGCAACACCCCCAGCCAGGAGGCAGTGACACTGCTGCACCAGGGTCAGGACAGCTGCCGAGCAGGAGGGGAGTACTGGCATAGCACAGTTATGGAAAAGTGGGGCCAATGAGATGAAGGGGAAAAAAAAAAGAAAAAGTAGCAGCTTTTCATTTAAAAAATTATCCCACGAACTGTTGTCACATTGGAGCGAGTCTGTGTGATATAAGTTAATCCTGTCCTTCACGGGGGGGGAAGGAAGACACACATGGCAGTGTGGCTAATGCTGCCTCCCCTCCACCTTCTCTTCCAAGTGCCCGACCTGTTCTGCCAGCTCGGAGACCTTGGCTTGGCAGTCCAGCAGGTTGTCCTTCAGTCCTGTTATTTCCTGAGAGTGGGCAGCCAGTGTCCCATTCATGTGGTCCATGTAGTCCCACAGACTGCCCGTGTGTTTCTCCAGTTCCCTCCTGATGTCGTCCAGGCTCCCTGTGAGGACACCCAGCCTGCCACAGGCTCTCTCCACCCGGGCCACCCGCTCGTCGAAGTGAGAGATCTCCTGCTGCAGGTCGTGGGCCACGTTCTTGCAGGAGCTCAGGTCACTGACAATCCTGGCTTTGAGTCGCTCCAGGTCTCCCTTGAGGTTCAGGACACGGCGGTTGCTGAAGAAGAGCTGGGAGCCCTGGTCGTTGACTTTCTCCTGGATGGAGTGCACCTCATCCTCGATCTTCCGCTCGTGCTCGTCCAGCGAGGAGTTGACATGTGTCACGGTATCCGAGTACTGGGAGACAGAGTCCTTGAGCCCCGTCAGAGACTTGCTCACAGTGTTCAGGTTGATCTTTAGCAAGGTGATCTCCCCTTGCAAAGCCCCCGACGCTTCCTCCTCGATTCGCCGCTGGATCTCCAGGATGGTGGCGTTCAGCTTGCGCAGGAGGTCGTAGTTGCTGTCCATCCGCAGGAGCAGGTCCTGGTTCTTGCTCTGGCAGTCTTCGATCTCCGTCCGGAAGGTCTCCACATCTTTGGAGGCAGAGGTGCAGCCCAGGGAACAAGTGCTCTCCAGCGTGACAAGGCGATTCTGGAGCACCTCCAGTGTCTCGTCTGTCCGTTTCCTCATGCTGGCGAGCTTGCCCTCCAGCACAGGCACCACTGCTCCGTCCATTCCCATGGGAGAACTGACATTGTTCAGCTCCCCCACGATGGTCATGAACCTGTCCTCCAGGGTCTGCATTTTGTCCTCAAAGGCAGTCCTCATGCCATCCACCTCTGCCACCACTGTGCCTCTCATGCTGTCCTCTATCCCAGAGCAGCAGTTCCCCGTTTCCCTCTCTGTAGCATTGAGCCTGGCTTCCAGGTCCTCAAAGCGCCCTTCAAAGAGGTTCCCTAGGGTGACAGTGGAGATTTCTCCATCCAGCCGTGAGTGCAAGTTCTTCTGGGACTCGGAGATGCTGTGAAGGCCTTTCTCAAGGATGTTCATGCGATCAGTGAGGTAGTCCAGGTTGCTGCAGCAGCTTTCCACCACGGTCAGCCCTTGGATCTGGGTCTCCAGCTGGGAGATCTCTTTCTTGATCTCCAGCTCCTTCCCATCCAGTGTCTGCTGCAGCCGCAGGTTGGCAGCTTTCTCCTCCTCGCACTGCTGCCGCACCTCTTGGATCCGGAAGTCGCACGTGGTCTGGATCTTCCCCAGCTTCTTCTCGAAGCCGTCGAGCAGCTCCCCGCGCAGCGTGCTCAGCCTCGTGTCCACGTACTCCTCCAGCAGGTCGATGGAGGTGAGGGGCGAGGGCCGGGCAGCCTCCAGCAGGTGCTTGATGTGCCCGTCGTGGTCCAGGACCATGCCCCGGACCTCGTGCAGCAGATCTGCCTTGGTTTTCAGCACGTCGCTCACCTCGGTCACTTTGGTCAGGATCTCCCCCACGGGAGGGTACGTGGCGATGTCGGCTTTGTCCGCCACGTCCACCAGCCCGTCGGGAATGATGCCGAAGCCGACTGTGGAGTCAGGCGTGCCCGGGCTGTTCATCAGGGAGCCGATCATCTTGGTGGTGTCCTCCTGGATGGCCAGGCGCAGGCGGTCCCCCAGCCCACTCACCATGGTGTGCAGGCTGTCGTAGGACTGGGAGAGGCGCCTCACCTCCTCCTCCAGCCGATCCAGGCGGTCCCCAAAGAGGCCCGGCAGCTTCCTGCCTGCAGGGGAAAGAAACAGAGAGGGCACAGTCAGGACCAGTGCTCCTTTAACTCCCCTCCTTGGCTATCTTCCTCTTATTGCCATTTCAGCAAAATCTCAGCCCACCCACGCTCACCATGTCTCCTTAAGCTGATTAGGAAACTCTCTTTCCTCTTGGGATCCAGCCCTCTGCTCCCAAGTTAAACAGCAGGTGATGAGAATAGCCCAGGGGAGCTTTGTCTTGAGACACCCTCTATCAACCCCAAAATTAATAGAAAAATGCTCTAAAGCAATGAGGAAAGGCAATTT